TGTGTGTGTGTGTGTGTGTGTGTGTGTGTGTGTGTGTGTGTGTGTGTTTGTTCCTCTTTGTTATTAGAGAGGCTCATCATCGGAAGTTTTTACTGATTTTCACCCCAAAAAAAATCTCAAAGGAGCACTTCACTTTATAAAAACAAGGTCCCCTTGTAGCAAGGACAGGACAGAATATGCTTCTGGGAATAGTGAACAGAACCATGGCTGAAAGACATAAACTGGCTGCTGTTACACAAACAAACAAAGGTTAAAGACGCTTTGTGTTGAAAATTGTCATATTTTTTCTTTCTAATGAGATTTTTACTTTGATAATTACATTTTTCAAAATAAGCTTAAATGAGCACTGGTAATGAGTCATGTAACTAATAGCACGATTAATGGTTGCACTCCATTTAAAGCTGTATTCATTGATTTGTTTTTGATTGATTTGGCACAATAGCAAGCTGACATACCTTTTAAAGTCATGGAGAACATATTAGGAAACTATTTTACACAATGTTTAAACATCCAGCACGCACAGAGCCACATTATCATTCATTTAGTATCCTTTTTCTGGCCACCCAATCACAGAGTTGGGTGTTAATTTAATTCTCCACAGGTGTGTCCTCTTGAGCAGCTGTTTTCTCATCACGTGCATTAATTTCATCTATTGTTAGCGTCAAAATATTGATTATTGCAGAACCGAGCCAATTCGAGAGCCCTCATCTTGTGCCTGCTGGCTCACTGTCATGGTTTAGTGGCACACTCAATGTTATTAGTTATGCCTGTGCTTTTCCCAACACTAATTTACCCTCAGTGGATGCTAACTCTAGTAGCTCTAATGATACTAAAGCGAAGCAGGTGATTTATTGGAGTGTTGGAGTCGCTCAAATGTTGAAGTGAATCGAACTTTTCTCGCAACAATAAACAAAGTTGCTGCTGAGGTGCATGCCAGCTGGCATTTGAAAAGTCATCAGTCGACATTTCACTGGTCACAGAAAATAAATTAACTTCCAGTGACTGGTTTCTTTAGTTGCTTTCGCTTTAAACACAATCGCGAGTTGTGTGTGGAAATGTTTGTGTTCATTTGTGCTGCATGTGTTGCTCTGTGAGTGATGTGGTCAGCTTTACTTCATGTGCATTGATGTGTCTCTTGCGACATATGGAATGTGTCTATTCATAGTATTTTTATGTCCCTGTGCACCTGCTGTTAACCAGCCAACCAAATACATGCATACAGACACACATGCACACACACACACACACACACACACACACACACACAATACCTGTGGCACCTGGACCATGCATCGTTTCACATGCACAAACACTTGAATGCACCGGTGCGTACACATGCTCTCTCCCCTCGCCGACGAATAATCATCCGTCCTCGCCTCCTATCTTCATCCTCCCTCCCTTCCTCCCTCCTCTTTCTCTCTCCCCCTCACCTCCCACCGTCCTCCCAGGTGTGTCTGACTCTCACTGCCAAGCGAATGGCGAAGAAGAACTGTCTGGTGAAGAACCTGGAGGCCGTAGAGACTCTCGGCTCCACCTCCACCATCTGCTCCGACAAGACGGGCACGCTGACCCAGAACCGCATGACCGTGGCCCACATGTGGTTCGATAACCAGATCCACGAGGCAGACACCACCGAGGACCAGACGGGTGAGAGGCAGAGTCGAAAAGAGAGGGAGGAGTAGGGGAAAGGGAAGGAGTGGAAGGAGAGAGCTTTGGGGAAAGATGGAGAGACTAAATAAAGAAGAAGGGGGGTGATAGAGACTGTGTGGGAATACTTAGAGAGAATGTGATTACCTGCTGAAATTCATCCGTCCAAAGTTCACACCGCCAACCAACATCGCTGTTTACACTACCTCTTGGATTAATTGAGTAGCGGTATGCAGTGTGGGCGGCACAACCACCAGCCACAAACATGTCCTTTGCCAGAGTTCCTGAGCAAGACGTCAGCTCGGATTCCTGTCTCCTACCAAACAGCCACAAACCGAGCCGGATTTCAAAGACGCATTTTTAGCAATAACCAAAAGGTTTTGGGAAATAAGTAAAAAACAAACAAACAGGTGTTCTATGCATACCAATGAGTATTGAGTTAGGCAATCATACAATGAATAGCTAGCAGTGCTGACAAAGGCCGAACAGTTGAAACAGTGAAAGCGCTGAAGGAAAAAAACAGTGTATTCATTTTTCAGCAGTACAAACTATTTATTTTATTTTTTTTTGCAGCTGGTGCAAGTTTTGGAGCCTTTCGCGCCCCTTTTTCTCAAGTACAACAACTCCAGCTGCAGTTTGCCACTGTGTACCTGCTGTATGTTGCATGATGCTGTTCTATTCTCTTTGCACAACAGCAGGGACAGTGACCACTCTCTCGGCTAGGCTAAAATAAAAACAATGAATGCAACAGAGTGAGACTCCTTTTCAGTTCAGAACTGGTGGGAGGGATAAAATTTGGATTTGAAATTTCCAAACGGCTTTTACTTTTTGAGACTTTCTCGTTAAAAATGAATGCCATTTTCCAGACTGGGGAATTGAAAAATCACTTCTGTCAAGGAATAAGGGATTGCTTTGTTATTGAGCTACAATATCCAGTGCTACTCTGTGAACCAAGAGTTAAGTCAGTAGCATAAATACTGGATGAACCCCACTTTAAAAAAAAGTCTAACACAGCTCCTTCTGCTATTCTCCCAGGTTTGGGTTTTGACAAGAGCTCTGCTACTTGGACTGCTCTGTCTCACGTTGCCGGCCTCTGCAACAGAGCTGATTTCAAGGCCGGACAGGACAGCTTCCCCATCCTGATGGTATGATTCTCCACCCTACACGAGACACCACATTGATGATTCAGACTCATGAATTATCTGTACTCTCTAAAGCAGTGGGTTGTAACAGGATTAGTTTGATCTAAGTACATTATAAGCAGCACCTTTTTAGATTTGGATCAAAACAATGCATGCACATTATTCATGTGACGGGAGTTTTGCATACACGATTTGCTGATAGGGTGAAGTTAATAACATCAGGACAGCGTCAAGTCAGCTGTCACACAAAGATAAGCAGTGGTGGTGTTTAGATCATTTACTGAAAGTTAGTGTGAGGAACTTTTAACTGGTTATGAAACTCTCAATCAAACACCGATGCCTCTATATGACCTACATAAGTAAAGCAGACCATCGGCGAGAAGATTGGCTATTTCTATGTAGTTATTCTTAATGCTTGTCAATCGGGTTGGATTCCGTGCAAAATCAGACGAAATTATGCAGGTTCAACCGGAAAGTCCTTCAGCTCAGACTCCAAATATAAAACTCACCGAGGACAGACCCAGATTCAGCTCCGCTGCCACCTTTGAATAATACAGACCTGCAGTCAGAGCTCTGGTGGGAGGTGGAGCGCTGCGTGCCAGGAGCAGAGCTTCACCTCGCTGCTCCACCGGTCCCCCGCTGGGAGCCAACACCGACACCACGCTGCTGGAGGCCCAGGACGTTTGCTGGGCCCGCTGGAGGGAAGGGGAGGCACGAGAGAACCAGAACCAAGACTGGGTCGAGCAGACTGCCAGACCCTGCTGCAGTGAAAATGAGACATTTAGAAAAGGACTCCGGTGGTTTGTACCACTACCACTCTTTATACTGGGACCGCCAAAATCAACACAAAATTAAAGTTCCTCGCAGTAGCTTGAAGTAAAGTAGGTATGTTGCAATGTAAAAATACTCTGTTATATTGGAATCAACACTTAGTTAGCAAAGTTAGCAAAAATCTATAACAATTTATCTTATTTTATAAATATCTTAATCTGAAAAGTAACTAGTAATAGTTGTCATATAAATGTAAGAACAATATTTCACTCTGAAATACTGTGAAGTATAGGTGTAACATATTTATAGCTATATAAAGTATCTATAATATTCATGAATATTGAATAATATATAGTTACACCACTGCTATCGGGAATAAGTAAATAAAAAAGTTGGTTTTCAATGCATCATGTTTTATAAATGATCAGCCTGTAAAATACAGTGAAGTATAATGCGTTATAAAGTAGCGTAACATAGATATACTCAAGAACATGTTAAGAACTTCAGAACTATAAACCGTACCATACTTAAGTAAATATACTTTGCATTCTCTTCTGCGGCCAACCAAGCCTCCCCACATGGCAACCCACAGCGGAGAAACAACCCGTAAAAAATGATTCGTCAATGCAACTTGACACAGGTGCACTACACACACACACACACACACACACACACACACACACACACACACACACACACACACACACAGAGAATAATCCAAAACACCCCTGGAAATAACTCCCCCACACTGATACCTAAACTTACACACTGCTGAGTGGGTAAGTCAATAATATCCCAGTATTCTACCAACCGCTCTCTAACCTGTGCTACATTGACCTGAAGAAATTCTCCGTGTGGCTCACAGCGACAGGGATCACCGCTTCTTGACTTCGGTGGGAGCAGAACCTGCAGCCTCTCGGCCCCTTGAGGTGCCCGGGCGTAACAGCCACATCTCCTGACAGCGCTCAAACACAGCAGTCAAGGCCCATGCCGGCTCCACTACCATTACAAGAACAAAGTCCATGTCTTCACCCGAGAGAAGAAAACAGAGACAATGGAATTTCCTTGATCTATTCATTCATTCATTCATGAAAAGGCTCAAACAAGGACAAATATTGCAGAGTGTGCGTCCTTGTTTCGTGGCTGTTCATGAATGAATAAACAGGAATAAAGAGGAATCTCATGTCTTGGTTCGGCCCCCGTTGGTATATCGGTCAATCAGCTCATGATGGATTTTAATAAATTGGCTCCAAGAGCCAGATGAATTGTAGTGATCACCATGGAATTTTTATCAAGAGGGATTTTACAGGTTATGAGAAGGTGATTCAAGCGCCACACAAGCAACGTTGTCACACATGTTGAAGCCGGTAAACCTGCAGAAAACACAAAAACAAAGCTGTGCTTCCAAACGGGGGATAATTCAATACTGAGCCTTGTAAAATAGGCCTCCACACTGTGTGTGTGTGTGTGTGTAAGTATGCTTTCAAATTCATGGATTTCACCTCTGTTCCCCCAAAAAGTCTCAGTAAAAGACTTCTGCACACCACTTTAAAGGTGCTAAATTCCAAATTGAGAGCATATCTATGATTGAGGCATTGCCTCCATACGGCTCTCAACATGGCGACAGCGGAGCAGCTAACGATGCTAACAGCACAAACAGTGTAATCAACAGCAACAGTGCTGACAGAGCTAACAGTGTTAACCTGGACGTGGGTCTGGATGGCGTTATCAGAGGTAACCGCTGTATGAGTGCTGGGCAGAGCAGCGTCCATTAGCTAGCGGGGCACAACAGAGAGACTCACATGCACTAAAAAGCAGGCGTGACAAAAGACAGTGACGCTGTGATTACAACACACAGGAGAGCGACTTCATCCTCTGCTCAGGTAGACATTACTCCACTATATCTTTACGTAGCAAGTAGTTGTTTGCTGCTATATTAACGCTCTGAATTTGAAATTTTGCACCTTTCAACAAAAATGGACACACATAACAAATTAGGCGGTTTAATTCCTTCAAGCATAATTTACTACATCCTTAGTAGCCACTTTTCTGTTGATTATTGGCAATGTGTTTCAACAATATTTATTTCCAACATGGTTCTCCAACTCTTCATATCCGGGGCCTTTACATACATATCCTTAAAATATACCCCTTAAAAACGGCACACAAACTAATCAGCTGTGTTTCTCCCGAAGAGATTGAGCTGCTTTAATCAAATGATTCTTCATCCCCCTAAAGTGAAAAAGAAAACTCAGTTTTGCACTTTCATTACTTCTACATTAGATTGTTACATAAGTTTAAAAACAGTGTGGCCAAGTGTTTGTGATGCAGATGATGCTCAGCTACCTGCATCATTGATGAGACTCATAATGGAAGGAAAGAAAGTCCTCTCAGGTGGCGCTTTAATTTGTTAAAGTTCCCTTCCACCGCGGCGTGATAAACACAGGCAGTGAGACAGACAACACTCATTTGTTAATATGCATATGTGAGTGACTGTGCTAACGTGCGGCTGTGTGTGTGTGTTTCCCCAGAGGGAGACAGCGGGGGACGCATCAGAGTCAGCCCTGTTAAAATGCATCGAGCTGTGCTGTGGGGGTGTTCGTCAAATGAGATCTAGAAACCCCAAAGTGGCAGAGATCCCCTTCAACTCCACCAACAAATACCAGGTACTGCATGGGACTGACGTTGCTGCAGATGCAGGTCTACAATAAAATGTTTAATATTTGAAGTAGTTGTTTTAAAATTGTGGATTTAGTTTTATTCATAAATACATTTTTTTAATTTATATCTAACTATTGAAATATTAATTAGAAGTCTTTTGTTTCTTAATAAACTTAACTTTGCATTTAATGTATTCTTTGAGATAATTCTGTTAGTGCTTTTAAATTGGCGATATTAGAAAAAAAAGACATGGAAAACATTTTTGAGACATTTTGGGGATTCGTTTTTTACTTTTTTCTGTCCGAGCAAGGCAGTCTGAACGTGCACGCTCTTTACAGCAACAGCCACCCTGCTTTACATTCATGCTGTTGCACATATTTAGGCTTGGTAGCTGCCCAACAGGCCACAAGCAGAACACTGTTTGCCACAGAGAGGCTGTTGCAGTGTTGCGTTGTGTGTTATTTATGACAGAAAGATACATGTGGATTACAAACTGGTTGTTTTTGGCTGCTCAGAAGATCTGTTACTACCTTTAATTGGACAGAAATACCTTTTTGTGGGAGACGGTCACAGTCAAAACCAGAAACGTCCACTAGGCTCAGTTTTTTATTAAATTAGTCTGACACCGTTACTGAAAGGACTCTTCCTTTTTTCTTTACCTTTAGTCTGTCAGTCATTTTGTCTTACTAAGTGTAGCTCAAGGAGACGTCTTGTTCTAAAATCTTGCGATGTGACTTGTTGTCAGAGTGAGGAGTGCCACTGCAGGTTGTGTTGGAGTGCAGAAAGCTTAGCTTAGTCATTGTCAGTGTCATGACTAAATATTTAGCTGATTTCAAAAATGTGGAAGGGGGCCAACCTTCTTGTCAGATTTATGGCACAAGACTTCTCCTTCAGCGAGACTTGGTTAGACTAAAAAAAAAAAACAGACCAAGTGAAAGGTAAATAAAAATGTGTGATTCCTCTGTGGGGTCCTTTCCATAATGTTGTCAGACATTTATAATAGCAATCTGAGCCAGAAAGTGTCGAAAACAATCGCTTCTAGTGGACGTACAATTGACGGATTACATTGCAGTCCGTTTTGCGGCTGCGGCGCTAAATACTGGACACAAAAACATGGGAGAATAGAATCCAGGTTGAAAACCCCCCAAGTTACCCTTTAACACCTTGCTCAAGGGCACCACAGCAATTAAGACAGGGGCAGTTTTTCTGCTTTCTACTCCCAGTCTTTACCATCGTGTCTAGAGATTTGAACCAGCGGATGAATAACACAACAGTGATGTTGAAGCATACAAAGGACTTCCTGCATGCATTCTGTGCACCTGTTCCCCCATTTAAAATAGGGACGTCTGTGTTGAGAAAAAAAAAAAGCAATTTTGCTCTGGTTTTCTGAGATTAGATATGCTGTGACTCAGATACAAATTACCTGGAGGAGTGTGTGTGTGTGTGTTTGTGTGGGGGAAGGGGCAATGCAAGGTGTAAAACCAGAGGAATACACGTGAGATTGAATGCTCCTTCAACTCAGGTGCAATACATGTGACTTACAATGTGCAATCAGTCAAGTCCGCTTCGACGAGACTTTTATTTCAAACCTCTTGGAAAAATATGACACGATAAATGATTTCTCGTGTGACCATGAAACTCATTGTTGTACTGAGCCTTTTTACTTCCAGGAGAATGAAACATCATAGACAGCAAGAAACAACTAGCCATAAACTACATGTTGCAGCTTGTTTCATAATAAATCTTGTCATGTCCTCACCAGTCTTCCAATGTCCTCCCCCTTTTTTTTAAAGCTCTCTGTCCATGAAGTGGAGGACAATCCCTCTGCTCATATTCTGGTCATGAAGGGAGCGCCAGAGAGAATCCTGGACAGGTTGGTCAATCAATAACGGATCGATTATGTGTCTCCCAAGTGAGGCGGCGCAGAATTTGTACGTCTTTTTCATTTAATTAAATTTCTTCCTTCTATTCAAGGGATGTAGTGAATAGAAACTACATTGTGCTTAAAGGCTAACAATAGTTTAGTCGTATAATAGTTTGTTCTGTGACAGCCATGTCTAATGCGTTATAAACATACTTATCATCTGTAATAATCTATTTATAGCACAGTATAATCAAGGTTATAAGCACTCGAAAATATTCATAGTGCGTTATATCAATAATCATAACACATTATAAAGCATTTTATAGTGATATATAAGGTCAAGCGTCATAATAATTGCTGGTCATTTACTGACGGTTTTTTGCAAGGATCATAATGTATTTTTTGTAATCATATAAGCTATGCATAACACGCATTATAAGTATGTTTATAATGCAATATAAATATGGGCATCTGAGAAAGTGGAACTGTTTTTTATTATTGGTAACAAATCTTCTAACAACAACTTTGAATCGATCCAAGAAACAAATATTATCTGTGTGTCCAAAACCTGAAATAGCTTATTCCTTTGTGCCGTGTACCTCCATTGTTGACCAGAAAAAAACTATTAAAAACAATGTAGACAATATAGAAGAAATGTTCCTTCATCACCATGAACCATGAGAATCACTGCACTGGAGCACAAATGTGTATTAATCCACTGGTGAAAATAGTCCCCAACACTATCTACTCCTCGCCTGCTGTTTTAGAAAATGAGTTACCCTTTAAAAAAAACAATTAAACTATGAAGTCGTGACCTTTTTCAGTCGGAACTAATGGAGAGCCTCAGACAGGGTGGTACAAATCAGAGAGTATTGGGAGAAACACAATGACGGTTTGATGGTTTTGGTCCTTTCAGGGAATTTGTTGAAAACGAGAAAAACATAGTAACATAACCGCAGGCGTATCCGTTAAATGTTTTCGTTGTTGCATATTAATTGCATGAGCGCTCTGATTGAGATGCTGAAGATTTTTGGCCATATTGTCACAGTTTGTATGAGGTCACACATCGCTGTTGGCCCAAGTCTGGCCCAGTTTCCCAGAATGTGGACATTTTTGCAGTTGGGCGGAGCAAATGAGCGACGCAGTGGCCGCTATTGAAAATAACGCAGGATCATAACGAGTATTCAATGTGTCCTGAGTTTGTATAAAAATGCAATGCCAACCTTTTTTTCTGGGGACTCGGTTAGTTTCCCTTCTGGTCATCCCAAAAGCTCATCTCCTTCAACCATTATCATTGACTGTAGTTTTAGCATGGCTCCTGTTGTTTTCCAGCACTTTCCTAACAAGATTGCTATGCAGATAGAGATGATGTTATTAGCTTTGGAAGCAGTAAGAGTATTATTAACAAATGTTTTACAGGTGCAGTAGCATCATGATCCATGGCCAGGAGCAGCCACTCGATGAAAACTGGAGAGATGCTTTCCAGAGTGCCTACATGGAGCTGGGAGGACTGGGAGAGAGAGTGCTTGGTATGTTCTTCGTGGCACCCGCTATTGTCGGCCTGGGAATAGGTAGCGGGGAGAAGCAGTTGGACACAGCAATTACCTTTTATTATCTCCTTGGTAAAGAGAGCAGTTCAGCCACATGTCCCTGTAAAAGGGTGGACTGTTTTAATTGCAACAGCGTAAATAGAAACGGAGGTTTTGGCACTGCAGTCTTGTAATAGACTGGAATGAAGTAAAAGCTGAAATGACCATTGTTACACATGGGTTTTCTGGGTTTGTTTTGTATGTAATGTTGGATGTATTATGTTAATGATCTGGCATTCAAATCATTCCCCCAAGTTCAACTTTCAATATCTCTACAGTGTTCAGCATCCAGACTCTGTAAATGTCATCATTTTGACAACCAAGGAAAAAAAAAGAAGTTATCTGGCATCTTTTTGAAAAAGTGCCATCGGTAATAATTCTTTGCTGTCTGCGGTTTTTGTTGGAGTAGGTGTCACAACAGTGAAATGTGGAATAATGCAATTTTTGGAGTGAAACTCCTGGAATCATTATTAATAATTAAATCCCAGTCATGCCTCGGGTGATGATGATGATGATGATGATGATGATGATGGTGATGGGTCGGGTGTTTCACTTTCAGACTGAGGGCTTTATTGTGCTTTACTCTCTATAGGGATTCAAGAGATGCTCTTATTTCGAGGGCTGTGGGTCATGAATTAATAAAAGGGGTGGATTCAATTTGTATGTCAGACCTGCGAACTCCAAATCGAACATCTAAAATTAAAAGTGATTTGTATGCATACTGTTAGATAAAGCATCAGTGCAGGGAGCACAATGTATTTTCTACAGATGTCTTTCATATTTACATTTAGTGTTGTACTGTAAATATCAACAGCAAAGTGCATCCTTATTGTTTATTGGATATTTTGGACTTAAATGACCTTCAGGGTGATTAAAGACTTTTCTACTTTTTAAAGTGCCAGATAAATTATCAGAGCACCAAAGCAAGTTTCCCCCCTCCGTTAGCTGCAGTGTGCACTTTGAGGTGTCAGTCAGTTCTGAGCGATCACCTCACGGATCCGTCTTCTTCTGCAGGATTCTGCCACTTGAATCTGTCTTCATCCCAGTTCCCTCGAGGATTCACCTTCGACAGCGACGAAACCAACTTTCCCACCGAGCAGCTCTGCTTCCTGGGTCTCATCTCCATGATTGATCCGCCGCGTGCCGCCGTGCCCGACGCAGTCAGTAAATGCCGCTCCGCTGGCATCAAGGTAATTGGTTCCACAGACTCAATTTTCATTGTAGTTCCTGCAAAGCCTTTTTCGCCCTCGGCTTCATTCATCGGACATTTCAGAGAAGGGATTTGCATGTCAGATATCTTTTCAAATCCAAAAATGCCCGGACCACTCCGAGTGGGCCCTGATGGATGATGATTGATGGATGAATAAAGTTCTATAGCTCAGAGGAAACTGCTGATAACATATCCAGTGCAAATACTTAACCCAAAAAGGTAGCCAGTAATGAGTGAAATTACTACATCTTAAAGCTGCAGTGTGAAGGATTTGGAGGCATCTAACGGCGAGGATGCAGTTTGCAACCAATGGAAAACTCTCCCGTTTGGCAAGAGTGAAGGAGAACTACGCCCGCTGACCCCAAAACACAAACGATCCTCTCTAGAGCTGGTGTTTGGTTTGTCCACTCTGGGCTACCGTAGAAAGACGGCGGCGTAACATAGCAGACTCCATATAAACGGCTCATTCTAAACTAACGCAAACACAATGATTCCTTGTTTTTATTTTTCATAATTCAGGTGATTATACACTAAAGAAAACATACTTATTTGTATTATATTCCATTTATGCCAGTAGATCCCCATAAATGCTACAAACTTGTTTGTAGAGATCCCAGTTTTTTATGTGAAATAACAACCAACCAGTAACAATTTAGCACAGGGCAGATGTTTTATCAGAAAAGTAATAAGCCGGGGCTGCAGGAAGGTTAAACAACATGAAATGGATAATGAGTAGAATGAGTCGTTCTAATTTCGTCCAAAGAACTACAAATATGGGGAAAGGATTTTACACATTTCAATTTCAGGTACACAAGTTACAATGCCTCCTTTGATAATGAATTTTTGATAGACACACTGTAATTGGCTTAAAGAACGAACTGGCAGAAGTGAGTGAAGATGTTGCTTAAGGGAAGTAAACGGTTGAGTTTATTCTAGAGAAACAAAGGCTACGAAACTGATGACATGTCTGATAAAATGTCAAAATCACAAAGTTTTCTGAGAGTTTTAGTTATAATATATCAGATTTGTTTGGACTCAGGCGTTGTGTCAACTCTAACCTATGCTATGTCTTTTTTTGACTTGACAAAACATTGTCTATATAAATACATTTGTAGTCAGAAATGTGAGCGGAATGTTACGAACAGGCAGCATTGATGTGAGCTCTTTTATATACGTATATATGTATATATATATATTTATATATAATATATATATTAAACACCTAAACTCAAAGCTAAACTGGGATTTAAAGTGGTTGATATGATTTTAAGAATATTTTTCTATGAAAATTATATAATTTTACTTCCTGTGACGAGGCGTGTCAACATGCTTCATGTAGCTGCTCGGTATTGTCAGACGTTAAGTGCTCTATAGGTGTTATTTCTGATTGAAGTGGAAGAAGACAATTTTGGACAAACACACATCCACACCAGAACAAAGCTGCTGTAGCTGAGCCCAGGAGGAAACTAGAGCTCCTGGCTCTAATTACTTTTTATTGGATGTAGTGCTAACGTTTCAGTGAAATGTGCATCCTCGGTTCACAGCATCAGTCTGAAGGCTTTAGTGCAATATATATTGCTCTCTCCTTCCTTCAGCTTGTGTGTGTGTTCTGCTGTGGATCATGATGGCGCTGGGGATTTCAGGAATATACCCCAAAAATGACTTTACTTACCCTTTCATACGAGGTTCAGATTCAATAGATATTCAAAATAATGTATTCCTTGCAGTTTGTATAGATGCAGTTTTGCAGGTAAACCAAAGATCTTACTCACTCAGGTCGATGAGTTACCACCCAAATAGAAAAGATTAAATTCATAGATGTCCCAGACATGGACAGATTTGATCTGATGTGAGATTTTGGAGGAACTGTGATTGAAACCCATTATTCAGTACGCTCTATTGTCAGTTATGGGATTAAAATAGAGGTTTTTAGTTATGTATATGTGTCAGAAAGGCTCAGCAGGGTGCAAAGTCAAACTAAAAGCAGAAACTAGTAGGGCTGTACCGAATAGTTTGACGCTTGACATTGCTGTGCAGCCTTTCATTTTATTTTTTTGTCTTTTCATTTCAGTAAGAATTTGTATTTCTGCACCGTTGCAGATACAAATCAGGCAACACTAATATTTTTAGTAATACACTGTTTGTAGAATTATCTCCCCGTGGTGGCTGCGATCCAAACATCTCCAAAAACCCAAGAGCGTTGTAAAGTCTGAAAGAACAACATATTTCTAACAAAATATTCTGCTTCAAACCATATTTGTTGGTGTTTAGCCTTTCAAAAGCAACGTTTTCACTGCGGGCATAAACGCTGTTTGCTCCCCCACTCGCCGCACACAGAGGGAGGCTTGCACCCGTATTCACGGGGCCGTCCAGCAGCAACATAGCAGCACAAAAAAATACATTTAGTCATAAATTATGATGCCAGACATTTGAAGTATCATTCAAAAAAACCTCAATTGAAGCTTCAAATATAAAAGAAGAGACAATCGGTACAGCACTAGAAACTAGGAAACATTGTTGAAGGGAAATGAAAATTGCTGTTGCAGGTGTACTGGAGGTCGATGAATGGAAATGAGCACATATTTTGGGATGTTTTAGCCACCCTATGCAGAGTACAGTCCTTGTATTGTTTTTTTTCTTGCTCTTGGACTCACAAACCCTCACGTGTAAAGGGTTTTGTCACAATCACACTACATGGGCAATGGGAACCCACCAATCAAGATGTTTGTTGGAGTGTACTGACAGATTTGAACCCTTAACCCCTAATAGCGCCCGCTCTTTTCCCGGTGTAACTACACAACACATTTGGATGACTTATAGGCCCTTAAGGCCCACACCGCACTGTAGCTCAAGCATGCTGTGGTACATGACACACAGATGAGAAACAGAGGGGTTTAATGTGATAACGCTCTGGGATTTATGGGACCTTCCCTCTGCCGTCAGGTGATCATGGTAACAGGGGACCACCCTATCACGGCCAAGGCCATCGCTAAAGGTGTGGGCATCATCTCTGAGGGCACCGAGACGGTCGAGGACATCGCCGAGAGACTGAACATCCCTCTAAGCCAAGTTAACCCCAGGTGTGTGTCTGTGTATCTGCTGCTCTTAAAGCTAATCTAAGCACCCACTAAAGATATTGTGAGATTATGTGTAAATCTGTTAGAAGGTCATGCTAAAACAGGCAGACATTGCCAATGTCTTTGGGTCATGGCCTACGCGGCAGTTAATTACGATTCATATGTCAACCTAAATTGTAAATCTGTCAGACTAATATTAAGATGTAACAAACAGAATCGGCAGAAATGTGCATGGACTCTCACGTCTCTCTGTTGAATATGACGCTACAGCCAATTAGCTTAGCTTAGCATGAAGACTGGAAAAAGGGGTGGAGGAAACAGCTACAGCTTGGCTCCCTCCAAAGTTTAAAAAAATCTGCTTACCAGCATCTCTTCCGCTCACAAATGAACATGTTTAAAAAAGGAGTAGATATAAGTTAAGACATCTTAGAGCATCAGAATGAGAATATTAATATTCCCCAAAATGTTATGACAGAAAGCATGAAAACGTCTTGTGTGTGTGTGTGTGTGTGTGTGTGTGTGTGTGTGTGTGTGTGTGTGTGAGTGTGAGAGAGAGAGAGAGAGAGAGAGAGAGAGAGAGAGAGAGAGAGAGAGAGAGAGAAACAAACAAACTTGAGGAGAAAGCAAGAAAATGTCAACTCCTTTGCATAACGGTCCCCGGTGTCACTGACTCCTTACTGTGTGTGTGTGTGTGTGTGTGTGTGTGTGTGTGTGTTGATCTTTGTGTTTCCCAGGGATGCCAAGGCTTGTGTGGTGCACGGCTCGGACTTAAAGGACATGAGCCCCGAGTACCTTGACGACCTGCTGAGGAACCACACTGAGATAGTGTTCGCTCGCACCTCCCCTCAGCAGAAGCTCATCATAGTGGAGGGCTGCCAGAGACAGGTCAATGGACAGGAGTGTGTGTGTGCGTGTGCGTGTGTGTGTGTGTGTGTATGTGTATGTGAGAGACTGTGTGTTTGGGTCTTGTTGAGAGCGTACAGCTGAATAGCAGTGTGTGTTTATATGTTTGAATGTAACCATGTGTGTGTTTGTGATAACGTCTGTCTGAATGCTTGAATGTGTTTGTTTACTTAAGTGTGGAGGAATGGTTGAGTGCATGTGTGTGTGTGTGCGTGTGTGTGTGTGTGTCCCTGCCATTTAAGGCTGAATACAGTTTACTGTGTGTGTAACTCTTTGTGTGTGTTTAAGCCATTTGTTAGTGCAGGAGGTTGAATGGATGAATACAGGCTTTTGTGCATGCGTGCGTGTATGTTTGGATGCGTGTGTGTATGTTTGGATGCGTGTGCAGGTCCATTTTCACTATATTGTTGAACACGAGTGCATATCCGTAAAGCATATTAACTATATAGTCATATATTACTCCCTATAGCCTATATATGCCTTAATGTTTAGTATGTGCTCAGCATTTGTGTGTGAATGGTTGAAATGAGACTTGTATGCACTTGCACACAGCCCCATATATTGAGATCATGCTACCGTAGACCCTTGACTTATTCACTCTTGCCCTGTGTGACTGAGTGATCGCAACTCAATTCCATTTTTTCGTTTAATCTCCCCAGAGCTGCTTTGAAAAGACATTATTAAGACAGAAGGGGGGGAGAGAGAGAAAAAGCTTAAATCATCGTACTTATCTTTCTCTTCTTGACACTTTTTGTTTTGCCGGTCCTTTGCGGGGTGCAGGGGGCGATCGTGGCCGTGACAGGCGACGGCGTCAACGACTCGCCGGCCTTGAAGAAAGCCGACATCGGCGTTGCCATGGGGATCGCCGGCTCTGATGTGTCCAAGCAGGCGGCTGACATGATCCTGCTCGACGACAACTTCGCCTCCATCGTCACTGGAGTGGAGGAGGGTGAGTGGAGGGGAAATAGTGAGAGAGACAAGAGTGGAGGAATGAAAGAGGTTAAAATGAGCCAGAGGAAAACAGAGGGAGGTGATTTAAAAACTTTGAAATTAAAACATTTCTGCCAGCGAGCTCCTTTGTCATCTAGAGACTGGAGATAATTAGTGAATAAGTACCGTAGAGTTGAAAATGTGATATGAGTATCATTGTGGCTTTCACACAGTATTCAACAGAACTGTAGACGTAGAACGTATAACAGAAGTGGATGTGGTCACCGTGATGTCTCACGTTGTTTGTGGACTGACTGTTTTGAGGCCTCAAGTTCGGCATTTGTGTTGTCAGCATCTTAGTTGTTTTGTTGCCGTTATGAAGCGGTACAGTCCTGTCAGTCACAGTAAGGCTGCAAAAAAGCATACCCTGCTTTATGGTCTGTTTGACTCTAAATAGAGCATCATGTACTAAATGAACATCATGCTGTGTTGAAGAAGACTTGAAACTAGTAATTGAGACCATAAACTCATGTTTACAAGTTTATTAAGGTAATTTATCAAATGACAAGTAGAGCCATTTCCTTATAGACTTCTATACAATTGGACTTATTTTTGCAACCTAAAGTGAGGCACTTCCACATTGGCTTCACTTTTCTGAACCGGAGGTTGTCTGTAGAACTGGGACATCACAGACGAGGCGACGCCCTCAGGACAGCGCTACTTCTTCGTCCTCTCGTGTTGGACTGAGGGCAGACTGGACGCTACAGCGACTCACTGTCGCCTCTCAGGGTATAAGTAGTATTACAAGACAGGACGGGCTGAGGCTCGTGGTTTGCATCTGCAAAACAATACATAGACGTCTGTGACAAAACGTCAACGCTGTAACCTCTTCACACTGTTGAAAACATTATTTAATTTTGTTTTCAAGCTAAAATTCTGTCCAGATCCTCCACATTGAACCTTTAAATCTTGACTGACTTGAGACTTGACCTCCTAAAGACTCGTTTACAGATGAGATTTTAAAGGAAAGTCATTCAGGTCTCAGGTTTTGAACTGCTAAAAACTGGGACAGTAAAAATCAATAAGACGGCAACTAAGTGGGGTCTGCATATTTTATTTTCATGCTTATGTAATGAAATGACTTGGTCTCACTCAGCTAAGTAGAAAAAACTCTACCAACAACTTTGAAAGTGAGGGAAATATTCAAATGCTGAACTTGAATCTTGACCTGTAATTCGCTTATTAAGACTTGTGAAGTGAAATTGCTCTGCCCTCAAGGACCGGACTTGAGAGTTACTCTGACAGATTTGAGATGTGACTTGAGGCTTGCCACAAGAGACTGGTATTTAATTAAAGTGTGGGGGGGTGCTAATAAGGTCTGAGGAAAAAAAAAAACACATTAGTAATGTGGAAATGCTGACACAGCAGTCAAAGTCATTTTTTATTTCAGCCAGTCTGGGAAATTAACTGAAACACGATGAAGCGCCAGAAAAAGACAATATGGTGGTGGGTGACCAATATCCCATCCAAAATCTACACATGTCCCCTGATAATGTATTTGTATACACGTACCTTGCATCCTTAAGGAGAATCGTTTCTCTTCCTTTCATTCCTGATCGCTGCAGGTCGTCTCATCTTTGACAACTTGAAGAAGTCCATTGCGTACACGCTGACCAGTAACATCCCAGAGATCTCGCCCTTCCTCCTCTTCATCTGTTTAAGTGTTCCTCTTCCTCTGGGAACTGTCACCATCCTCTGCATCGACCTGGGCACTGACATGGTGAGCTTGGGGGGGAGGGGAAACGGACGCTCACCTCTCTTTGTTCAGTCCTTCAATCCCTCTGTAGGCATGCTGACAATAGTGTTCTTGCATTATGTTAATTAATACGTTTGACTAAATTCCTGAAAAGTTACCACTTCATAGATGTATAGAAAAAAATCAAAACTCTACCTTTAAGTGTATAACATACTAGTTGTACACTAGTTTTATCTTTTTAGGCAACTTTCTCTACACATACTCAGTTTACAGAAGTTTCACAGGAGGGCGTGACAACAAAACATACGGTTTTAGATTTATCTTTTTATTTTTTGGGGTTGTATTCCAAGCACTTTCAAGTGTTCAAAGCTAATTGTTAGCTAATTCTAGTGATTCGTCTCAGTGAGCGGATGCTAATTGTTAGCATGTTGCATGGCTACGGGGAAGCTAGAGGTGACATTGAGGAAACTCCGGTTAATATCGTGTGTCGAATATGAGTGCCCGAAGGTAAAAAGAACAAAACATTTGGTTTAATTTGTTCTTTCTGTTGGTGGAAGAAATTTGCTTTTGGCTCACCGCCCGACATCCATTTGTTGGAGCAGAACAAAGGCCGGGTGACGCTCACATACAGATTTACATTTCACAGCTCTGCCATTTCCAGATGCCCGTCTCTCCATTGTATTTTCCAGCAGCAACAAAAAGAGTTGCTGGCACGCCGCTTGCCTGAGGGGCGTAATCCATCATTCCGAAAGAAAGGATGAATATATTCAAAAAGGACTTGTTCTGCCGTGTTCATTACTGGAACTTTAATTTTTCCTGCTCTCAGCCACCAGACAGTAACATGCAGCTGAAACTGGTTCTTACACATCCCAGTGTGCCGAAAGCAAAAAACCGTAGTAATGAGGTACAGGCACCATGATGGCCTCATAACCAACTGCCAAGAGGCATTTTATGTCCCCACAGGTTAAAGATATAGAGACGAGCAGCTGGCTAACATTGTTAATAAAGCAGTTGCACTTATTCCACCCAGGTGACATCAAAGATGAACTTCTTTGGTTTTCTAGCTGGCGGGACAGAGTTGTTCATGTTCACAAATATTGACTTAACTGTCAGAGATCACAGGGACAGTGCATTCTTTATTGGCTGGATTTCTCTTCAAAGATGTGATGATTGAAGTTTAAAAGCAAAGTATTTGTGCAACTGTTTTGCATATAAAAACACTTCCCTTCAAAGTAACATGTCTGCATGTATTTAAGAACCGTTGGTGGAGTGAACAGCTGGATGTCTGCTTTGAAGAGTAGGACCCAAAAAACTGAAGAAAATATTTAAATATTCAATAAAGTACCTAAAAAGTGTTTATAGTACAGTACACAAGTATAATTAGAAATTTCCCCATGCCTGCTGCCGAGGTTGTTAACAGCTTGTTAACAGCTTAGTTCAACTCCAGGCAACAGGCTTGAGGGCTCTGCTGAGATTTAGCAGTGACAAGCAGCACTTGGAGTCTGCTATGATTATTTTTAGCAACCAGTGCCATGTGGAAAAGGGACGGCTGCAAAAGATGTTTATCAAAGCAGGATGTGGCACACTTAAGAGTGCTTCACATTTGGATATTGCGCACATACACACTCGCGCTGTTAGAGGTGTTAAAAAAAAGAAAAGAAAATCAATGCCAAGCTCAGTCGCATCCTTTTCCCTCTCTCTGTCTTTCTCAGCGGCTGTGGGTCAGGGTCAGGGGGGGGTAATGCCAAAACAAACTGGATTTGTACACCGCAGAGCATGTGTTCAGTTTCACACAGTGCCAAGTCGCCACCTCAAATCCCACCTAAGTCGCAGAGATAGCCTGCCCTAAGTCACACATATTGCTCCGGTGCTTACCTGGTAAAACCAGCCAATATAAGATCTTTATTACGTGCAAAGACCTTTCTACCCTCCTACTTTATGAGTGCCTTGAAATTCACTATCAGTCTCTCTGCTCTTGTCTCCTCTCTCCACCTCCCTCTCTGTCACTGTCGCTGCTTCTTTTCTTTATTCTTTCCGTCTCCTTGCCCTTTTTCTGTCTTTTCTCTCCTTCCACACGGTGATTGAGTGCTGAATTATATTAATGGTGATGTGTCTAAGGTACCCCGTGTCTGGCGCTGTCATCGTGCCTTTGTGCCGTTGCCACCAAGACAAATTCCTGAACATTTATTGCAACAGGGCGAATAATGTGAGCTGATTCTGTGCTGTCCTCCCACCGCCTCCAGGTCCCAGCCATCTCATTGGCTTACGAGACGGCGGAGAGTGACATCATGAAACGCCAACCGAGGAACCCCCAAACAGACAAGCTGGTCAATGAACGCCTCATCAGCATGGCGTACGGACAGATAGGTTTGTCCTCTTGTGGCTCATAACCTCTTTGGACCGCAGCTCTTAAACCCGAATCACTGGGACAGCCTTCTTGTAGGGAAGTTATGGTTATAATAAACAGGCATAAAGACAATACATATTGACATCTATCAGAAATCTTGGCATTTCTTAGTGCCTTTGTAACGTACATTTAAGGACAGTCGGGATAGACTCTCATGATTTTCCTCTTAATTGTTGTGACATTTACAGCAAATTGAGAGCATGCAGCTATGTTCTACTTCTTGGTCGCGTTTCAGTGGTTGGAGCCTCTCTTGAATGCATGCTTTTTATCTCTGGTTTTATATGTTTTGGGAATTGTGAAACTCAAAGGCTGGCCCAATTTTATGGGCCGTTAAATAGGTCAAAATATGGCAGGGCTTCACTGGATGGCATACAATTTGAAGCCGAACACGTTCCAAACAGCCAGCAACTCGCATCAACTCCCATATTTCTTCCAGGAAGACCACCACTGGGGGGGAAACTTTTGCAGGTCACATCAAATTACATTTACAATCCGCTGATCTGTCATTACAGCTTGAAGTCCTGAAGCATCAACAGTGAACTCAGTCTAACTGATGATCTGATTTAGAGTGACACGCAACGACAGTAGAGTTCCAACACTATAAGCAAAGTAGAAGTAACAGCATCCTAAAAACAGATGCAACCAGCTGTGGGATCCAATACCCATAGTACCAGACTGTTTAGTATGCCAGAAACAAAATATTTAGTATGTCCCAAGACATAGTATGTCAAATGCAAACATAGCAGGGTGTTCTACTACATCCGGGTGCATTGTACAGTATGCAAGCCTGCATGCTTTTCTGGCTATTCTCACCCAGAATCCTTTGTGCAGCAGATATCTGATCAAGACGGTCAGAGTTCGAGGTTCACTGTTATGATGTAGTGGTATGTCTCAAACAAATGCATACTGCATGCACAAGTGCTTGCTTCGTAAGGGCAGCTGCAGTACGTAATAAAGGTAAATATTTAAGAAGTACTCGATTGGGAACGCAGTGCAATTTTCTCCTTCTGAGATAAAGATGTTAACGTCTATTAACACAAACACTGGGTTTCATTTTAGCGGGATAATGAATGAGAGGATTAATACGCATTGCCTCCATCCTTGATCGGTACTGGTGGAGGTTTAGTATATGTTGAAGCTCTAAAATAAGATGTCCATCATCATGTTGAAAATGTTACGCCCACTCTGACAAAACAGCATTCTCAAACATGAAATTAAAACTCACTCCCGGCTATTATTGCAGTCCTGAGCTGTCTGGAGCCATTGACCAGAGGGCAGAGGGAGGAAGACGTAATCGCCTGTGCTGTTGTTGAACCAATATTAAGTGCACAGCAGGTGGACCGAGGCTGAATGTCCAGAGTGTCAAAAATAAGCACTTTCCAGGACAATTTATTTGTCACATTTTGGTATAACTCCTGTTAATAAGTGATGCAAAACATTGGACCACCGGCATTAGTAGTGCTGCTGTCAAAATAGCGTTTGCCAAACGACACTCATTATCTATAAATCTTGCTATTTTCCTACTTACTCTGCAATAAAACTGCCCCTATTGCTCCACTGTGATGGGATGCAAGAGATGAGTAAACGAATCCAATCCAATGGCACACAATTTACTCAATGGTGTTGTAGCCAACCATCCATTACTGTAGCAGTAATTTAGACAAAATGAATGTGATGACTGTTTAAGCAGCACTGAGATTAGTGTCTTCAAAGTACCACACAAATAAAATGGGTAACATCTCATTATACAGTTCACAAATGTTCCAATAAATTCTTCATCGCTTGCTGGTTTTATTTCATTGATACACACTTCTAAGTGCTTTAAATGCTTTCGTCAATACACAGCAGGTCCAGTGGAAATGCATAATATATTTTTTTTTTCTACGGACAAACATGCAGTTCAACTGCAGTTATGAACTCAACATGAATAGCTAAACTCTAACTAAAATAACTGAACAGAAATGAGTGTCCATTTTCCCTAAACTAGCACCAAATGACAAGAAACCTATTAAGAAAATTATTAGGAAATTACAGATCTGTAAAATTAAGTCTTGCTATAAAATGTGACATAATGTTTTAGTACCTCACTGAGAACAGATGAATAGATGACGTTTGGACGTTGATCCCCTGGCACATGTTTCTTTTGTTTCCAGGGATGATCCAGGCTCTTGCTGGTTTTTTCACCTACTTTGTGATTTTGGCTGAGAACGGCTTCCTCCCAATAGACCTGCTGGGTATCCGCGTCAGATGGGACAACCGCGAAGTCAACGACGTGGAGGACAGCTACGGGCAGCAGTGGGTAAGGAGCGGGGACAAAGACAAACCGGCGCACCCAGTTGAATATTCCTATTGCTCACGCAGGAATGAATACAATCTGTGTTTCAACCTTGCAGACCTATGAGCAGAGGAAGATCATCGAATTCACCTGCCACACCTCCTTCTTCATCAGCATCGTTGTTGTGCAATGGGCTGATGTCATCATCTGCAAGACCAGGAGGAATTCCCTCTTTCAGCAGGGCATGAAGTAAGTGAGGGAGAGTAAAAGATGGATGGAAGGTTGTAAAAATCAGGGCGTGTAGTAAGGAAGGCAGATTCACCTTCAAATCAGTAATTTGTGACTGTCACATTTTTTGAAGATTTCCGTTGATTGCTTTTGAATAGTTTGAACCTCTTCCTCTCCTTTTTTTGTGTTCAACAGGAACAGGATCCTGATCTTCGGTCTGTTTGTCGAGACTGCTCTGGCCGCCTTCCTCTCCTACTGCCCTGGAATGGACATCGCCTTGCGCATGTACCCCCTGAAGTACGCTCTGCCTATGCAATATTCTCCACCGAACTGAAAAATATCCTCTTAAAGACCTGATAGGCTACCATTGGCCTGTCACTCTCGGCTTCAAATGAAGTCTGTGATCTTCCTAAACACCACGTTGTTATCCTTAATATTCAAGAAATGTCCGCAATGAATTGAACAATTTGCACTCTGCCCGTGACTCACTGCTGCTCCGTTCATCCCCGCCCCTGTTGTATCTCTCTCTTCCTCTCAGGCCCATGTGGTGGTTCTGTGCCTTCCCATACAGTCTTCTCATCTTCATTTATGATGAGGTCCGTAAATTAATTCTGAGGAGGAGCCCCGGAGGTAAGCAGTTATTAAGAGAAGCCAAGATTAAAATGGTTCAAGGGGGGAAAACGTGATGGTGTACTGATTTACGCCCCTATAGCTCAGGAACCACATGTGGCATTTTCTATCAAGACCTTTTCTCCCGTCCTCTCTATACCTCTCCTGTCCTTATATACACGTTTTAAAAAAAGTAGACTGTCCACTCCTTTATGGACACACTGATTGACAAAGTCGCCACGGCTCTGGTCTGCTGATCGGACATGAAGTATCCCAGCATGCATTTGACAGATGGTGACAAGCAGTCGAAGATCATGTTCAATATCAGTCGAAACGAGCACAAAACAAATGACATAAAAACATCAAAGAGCTGTTTTGAACGGAGATCAAAAAGGAAAGTACAGGTAGCAATTTTACAAAACAATGTTGGCAGTAATTACGAATGATTATTGATGACAATGTGAGCTTTAACTTTGATGTCATGCTGAAAACATGGATTTAAAAACATGGGTTTTCAACCCTGTTGGCTAGCTGTCATATCAACATCTCTTTCATTTTTGTTTTTTTGAGACAAAGTACACTATGCAAATTTTGCAATTTGCATAGTGTTTCCTGGCAGTTTGACATTTGGCTATTGTCATTTTTTTTGCATGTATTATAAAGCAGTAACTGTAATATTTTTCATTTAAAACGTATTATTAACCCCTAGCTTAAACCAATGCAGCTGAACACTATCAGGCTTCCAGCAAGCCAATCAATGCTGAACAATTCTCCAGCTCTCAAAGCTGCAGCCTCCGTAACACTCGACTGATTACTGTTTGTCTTCCAGGTCTGATTCACTGCTGTCTGGCACTTTGCTCAGGAATTCAGTTTAACAAATGAAGTGTAAAATCACGGCAAATAAACAAGACAACATTCAGTGGTGAAAATCACACATGACTGAAATGTGATCTGATTCTTGGGCCAAAGGCTGCATCTGCACTAGATTTAAACCAAAGTCCTTAACCATTTTTAAAAATGTATCTTGCTAATGAACAGACGGGTGAAAAACGCAAGCAATATGATCATAGATCATTGCAAAAACGTTTAGTGATTCTTCTTCTTGCCTTTAGGTAAAAAATAGCAACCCGTAGCAGCAGGTGAAATACAACATGTCGGCAGCAATCTGTATGGACTCAGACAACTCTGTGAACATGTGTTAAACTTGCACCAGCAAAGAGATTATACCTGTCCAACAGCTAGAGAAACAGTAGAGAATGATGAGAAAGGAAATTAAAGCAGGCTGATGAAGGCTCTTGAGATATGCCCAAAAAAGATCCTACACATGATATGGACACACTTCAACAGCTCCAAATCTGTTCACTGCCACGGCGTTTTCAGCTGATGGGGGCCAAGACATTGTGAGACAAATACAATTTATCGTGACAGCTAATCATTTCTGTTAATCTCTGTGTCACGGGCTGCTGATCAGACTCTTAGAGTTATAAGGGGATTCATTTGGAAATGTACAGAGACAAAGACAACGAGATGAATACAAATAGAGCGATACGGAAGGTTATTATGAAAACTGCTCGCCTGTCATTTTGGTCTCTGACACGTTATCTCTCTCTCTCTTTCTCTCTCTCTCTCTTCCAGGTTGGGTGGAGCAGGAGACATATTATTAACATTCAGAAAATGTCAATTTGAGTTTGCGTGTCTGTGAGAGTGTGTGCGTATGCGTACATGAGATATTGTGCGTGCTTGTGGGGGTAGAACTGTGTGTCTGTGTGTGTGTGTGTGTGTGTGTGTGTGTGTGTGTGTGTGTGTGTGTCAGTTGTAATATTGCATGGATCAGTTCACAAATCTGATTATCATAACAAAAAATACTGCTGAAAATAGGCTTTTGATTGTGCTTTGAGTTTTTCCTCGGTGGTAATGCACACCTACAGCATGTGCCTTAGATGAACTGCTACCAAAGGCTACAGAAGAACAACAAATGTCGCTCATGAGATGTACCAAATAAAAATCTATTCCAAAATATTCCTGGCCATCGTTTTGTTATTCTGTGATTTTGCGGTCATCCTGTTTGGGAGAAGATATTAAACAAGTCATCAATATGTAGGATGCCACATGTGTCAATAACTGTAACGTTTTCCAAACCACTAGATCTGCCTTTAATCATCATTTTAATGATACATCAGGTTTATATTGCTCGGAGAGGTAGGGAGTAGGTTGTTGAGGGCCTCGTAGGTGCTAAGTAGAATCTTGAAGTTCATCCTTTAACCGTGAGACAGCGGAGGTCATGGAGGACTGATGGGGTGATGTGATCACTTGAGTGGGGAGGGGGGGGGGGACACCATGGGTGACAAGAACTATGATTGATTTAAAAATGTTGATTGAGATGAACTGATGTCTGTCAGAGAGGTGGGACTGGAACCAAGAGAGGGCAGTGCCAGTAATACCAATGGGGGGGATTTGAGGTGTGTGATGAGTGTGGAACTGTTAATGGTATCTTGCATGTAACTTTATCAGTGAATGATACACAGGGCCACACCAAAAAACAGGAAAATCGGCAAAGGCATTCATACAGTATCAGTGTATATACCAGCCAATAAGTACAGTAACGAGAAAATACCAAAGATATGACTGAGGTACTTTAGAAAATGTGTTGCCCTTACATAGTTCACCAGAGAGAACTGACACATGTATTTTTCAAGTGTAAAATGCCGACGTAATTCTTTAACAACCACATCAAAAATGTTATGCATTTATGTTAAAAAGTCGTCCAATTTATCATTATTTTAAAATGAATACTGGTATCGCCCTCAAAAAATCCAGTATCAGTCAGGCTCTGCCTGCGCTCATATTTTCCTGATCCCATCATCCATTATGTATGTCCTTGTGTCTTCTATTCACTGGACACTCGTTACCTTACTGTCAAAATCGGCAACAACAAAAAATCGGCAGGCAGCGGAGCATTTCAGAAGCAATGTCAAGTCAAAAGCAATGTCAAAACTATTCTAAAAAAATGTTAGAGGGGTTTTAACTCTCATGTAACCAACCTTATCTAATTTGAGTCCTATGTGGGCTCTTATATTATACGTTATGCAACATTAATATGGGACCAGGCCATTGAGAACCAGTCAAAGGCTGCTTCTGGGCATCATTAACCCCACTACCTGTTTGATATCTGGATGAGTGTGTGTGGCTCATACTGTGTAAAAGTGTAAATGGGTGTTGCTGCATGTTTTCCTACGTTTACATCAACCATTTTATTGTTGCGTGGCGTGAATATTAAAATTGTGAGTCCATCTTTGAGTTGGGTTGAATTTAATTTTTTGTCATCTAAAGATTTTCTTTTGAGATATAAAAATAATAATAATAATACATTTTATTTGTATAGCGCTTTAAAAGGTACTCAAAGACACTTTACATGGTAAAAACAGAAACAATAAAAGCAATTACAGTATAAACAAAATAGATGACATAGAAATATTTTCATTATTGATAAATGTTTGGTCTATCCCAAAGGAAATCAGAAAATCCTCACAACCAGACAATGTGTGAGAATTTTGCTATAAATATGACGTCAATGATTATTCAAAATACTAAAGTTTTAAATGTTTGCTGATCAATTAACGGATGAATCAACAAGGCTAAAAGTTTCAGCTGTAAACTCATCTACAGCAATAATAATATTATCATTATTATTATTAATAATAATAATAATAATAATAGTAATTATAATAGTTGTTTTAAGCAGACAGTCATTTTATTAAAACTTAAATGTAGTATTTGTTAATATTTATTTAAGCTATATTTATTTTTTAAATGTAAAAGACCAACAAGTTTATAAATGCGAATTGAAATGCGAAAAAAGGTGTTTGTGTTCGTCCTCAGCTCACTCTGACCAAGTGTGACCTTAAAAAACAGCCGTTGAAGGTTTCAGATAACGTTAGAGGAACAACAACATCCGGTTACGTCACTTCCGTTCACTTCTTGTCAAACATGGCGCTCCTCCTAAGGTCAGTACGTCTGTGCTTCCCTAATGTTTTGGGCTCGGGGATAGTAGTTTTGTGTCGTTTTTCTGGGTTACCATGTCAAAGCGGAGGAAAACACGATCGAGTGTGACATTGTTTCGTTTGTTTATTATTATGTATTCAAGGTAAATATGGTGAAACTCGGTGCTAGCTGGCGTTAGCTAGCCGCCCAACACTAGCGTTAGCTATTTCTTGGGCATTTGACAGCTAGTAAAGAGTGGACTTTGGCTCTTAGTATGATTAATGACGGACTCAAACGGTGTCACTTGCTGCCTTTAGCCTTCAAATAGTCGTTGACTGTCCGTAAGCTTCCTAACCGGAGAGTTTGTTCTTGTTTAGCTTGGGGTTAGCTAACTAACTGACCGAATAGCTAGCTACATTGCTACTCCTCCGTGCCTTTAACAACTGTGTAATAACAAAGTAACGTGAGAGAGTCAAATGTTGGTGGACACTTCATTGACCTTGTGTGGCTGTTAAATGTGAGCAAAGCGCCTCTCAGGCGTATGAAGCCAGTGTTTATCACAGTGATTAGAAGCTAGTTCATTCCTTCTTTCTCACGATAGAGAGCATAGTTAAACAGGCACATTCATCATCTCTTAGTCTTCTCCTCGATCAGATTGACTTGAGTTTCCCTGACAGCCACAAAACTGGAGTTGCCATTGTTCTAGTCTCAGTTTAGGGCTGCATAATAAAAGTAAATAAATGGGTGTTTCAGAAATCATGCTGTCAGATATACCACTTTATAATTGCTTCTGTAATGTTGGTTTAAATGTTATTTATAATATGTACAGTGTAGTTTAATAGATGTAATTAGTTACTGAAATAGTTTGGAACATTCCTACAATTAAAATTGCCCTAGTTAAATTGATGTAGATACTGTATGTTTGTATGATTTTTCTATTTGACTGCAGACACAAACATCCTGATAGCAAGAAAAAGGTTATTTTTAACACTTGTTTCTTATGTTTAGGACATTGGCCCGTCAGGGTGTCTGTCTCTCCAGACCACACTACAGTGTCTTCTTCAGACAGTAAGTTGTGTGTGTGCGTGTGTGTGTGTGTGTGTGTGTGTGTGTGTGTGAGAGAGAGAAAAAGAGAACGTGGTTCACATCAATACACTGCTACATCTCATAGTAATGGGACAGATGCATTTTAAACCCTACTATAAATTGTTGTCCTGTAAACTCATGTACTCAAAGTATTTTTTCTGTCTACAGTGCTGCTCCAATGGGAACCACAGCTAAGGAAGAGATGAACAAGTTCTGGGCCAAAAATGCCAAATTAAGCAGACCCATGTCTCCTCATCTCACCATTTACCAGTATGTACTCTATGCCACGCCTCCATTTATGCTGAATCATTTCTGCGTATTTTTTTTCAAAGAAACTAGAAACTCTACTGTGGAACATTATCCAAGTTAAAAACTTCTTCTGTCAGGCGGTTATTATCCTAAAACCAGGAGTCAAGAAAACCTTTTATTCCGTATGTGCCTTTTTAATCGGACACTAGTTAACTTTCCCGGCTCAATCTTGGATCATTCTTATGGCTAATCTATGTCAGGGCACAAACTATTGGCTGGTTCTCTGATCTAGTGATTTAAATCATACTCTTTGACCTGTTTTATATTACTATTTATAACAGCGTCAGCCTTATTAAATTGTCATTTACTTTCATTTGTAATATACCTCCCCATGGCTTGCTTTTTTTCTTCGTGAGTCTCGACCACTTTGAGTAAAATTGCTGCCTCCAGCTAAAAAACATCCCAGAGTCCTTTTCTCCTTTCTGTACGATGGTGCAGTGATGCAACTTGGCAGCTTCAGCCTAACCTGAAACAAAACAGTTTTAAAAATTCAAGCAAAAGTGAGTGAAGGCTCAACGCTTTGACTTGTGCTTTGAGTGTGTTTCGACCACATACATCTGCCATCATAGTAAATGTGTGGCCTTGTCTTTGTGCTTCAGATGGTCCGTCCCCATGATGATGTCCATCACATTCAGAGGAACAGGAGTGGGGCTCAGTGGAGGTAACGCATCTGTTTTTTCATTGTCATCATGACTAAAGTTATAGATATGCTTCTAAATATTGTTCCTTCTGTAGTTATATTCATCCTTAAAATACCCACATTTTTCCACATTAAACAAATAAACCAAAACCTGCATCATGATACTATGTGTGGTCTTTTATGTTATTATTATCTAGGTGAAGCTGTTGCCTCTGTCAGCTTGTGATTGACCCTGAAAATCTCTCCAGGGCGTTTTAGTCCATCACTATTGATTTCTACTAAGAGCGTTTACAAACAATACAATTCAATACAATTCAAGCTTAAAATCATGTCTGATGCTGGACTGCTAACAGCTTCCATTCATTTGCCCGGTGTAACGGTTGTGGCATCGTTCATCAGTGCTTCTGACCTTGATGGATGTTTTACTATGTCCTGTCTTTCTATCGCAGTCCCTCATGTGCTTTATCACTGAGATCCACTCTCTGGCTTCCTTGCAAAGGGGCTGGTAAATTAACATCTTTTTTGGCTATCCCTTGTTATTGTTTCGACAACCTGCCTTTCAAAGCAATTTTTTTCTCATTTTGAATTAAAAATCTAAATTCATTTAAACGCAATGCAATGGAGGTTTTATTTTTGTGTTTACGTTGATGTGCGTTTCAACAAGGAGCGTCTCCTCCGCTGCGTTGCCTTTAATCATCCGGACCGCACAGAAAGAAGAGCTCAGACAAAGCCATTCAGTGCGGTTCATTCAGGCAGCTGCTGAGGAGCCCGTTTGATACAGAACCATTGTTTGGCCTTCATTTAATTTAGTCAGCGGGGGGGAAAAAAAAGTCTTCACATAATGGAGACACTCAGATGTTTAAAAATGACTGGTGGGGTGGTGACTCCTGGAGACTAATCCAGCAAAGAAATAATTGTCAGTAACAAGTTTGTCCTTGGTATGTGTTGTATTTCTCACTTATTGTTTTCCTTTAAAAAGGCTTGCATGCGCAACACCCATTCACATCCGCACCTTGTCCAAGCTCATCACTTCTGTCTGTGTCTAGCTATCTCAGCCTTTGCCTTGGCGGCGCTGGTATTACCGGGAAACTACCCCCACTACCTGGACTTGATCCACTCGCTCTCCGTCGGCCCTTATCTCATTGGGTTGGCCAAAATCGGCCTCACCTTCCCCGTGTCTTTCCACACCTTTAACGGCATCCGCCACCTGGTAAGACTTTATCATTTTATTTAGTTAGTCATAGCGAATGTTTGTCATGTTTTTTGCCTGATGTATTTTCGATTCTTTGGTACTATGTTGTCATGACCATATCTGATGTAGTGTCTGGATTCATCTTAATCTTTTTAACGGAAACAGACTTTAATGCAGTTTGCTGTTTTTATCATGTTTGCTCATTTCACTGGTTTTCATAGAGGATTCATAAGATGGTGGTGTTTCTTGTGCTAAATGTTCTTCTCTTTCATTTTGTCTTCTTTGTTTATTTAAATCAGTGTTGGGACCTTGGCAAGGGCTTCAGACTCCCAGAGGTGTACCGCACTGGCTACACAGTCATTGGTCTGTCCATCGTCACTTCTGTAGCCGTGGCTTTCTTCCTCTGAGCAGACGAGGAGGGGAGGGAGTCGAAGGGAATGTGGACTTGCATTCACTCTGGGAGTTTTGTGTATATGTCGTCGCCTACTGCAGGCACTGTTTCATCAATGTATTAAATAAAGGATTATATTATACTGTATGCGGTAAATGTGCTGCGGTGTTTTGTCCCTTGGAATTAATTAAACTCTGACAGGCTTTGGGGTCATTAAGTGCGACAAGAGTGCAAAGTGCATGCAAATGTGACCCAGTTTATTTCACGCTTGTTCTCGGTGTGTGAACAACAACCGGCGTCCAAAATTAGACGTGTCCTACATGTTATGTCCTTACGTAACTTATCTAATGGAGCTGTGACGTCGGATTCTTTAATCACCTCCCTTTGTCCTCAGTGCTCAGTCACTCGCCTGTCAGCCGTCTATGTGCACCAGAATGTGTCTGTGTGCGTGTAGAGTGGCTGTTTACTGTGGGCTGTCATTCATATTCTACCTTCTCCACAGCCGCAGCTGCTCCAATACATTTTTTAACATCAGGAAAGAGAGTGGCTGAAATGTGGAGAGGCAGCCCGGTTGTGTGTGCGTGCGTGCGTGCGTGCGTGCGTGCGTGCGTGCGCAGGCTCCTCACCGGCAGCCTGCCTCGGGCCTTACCTCCCACTGAGCCATGCAGGAGATACACTGCACCTGAACAGCTTTTGTCCTGCAGTGTGAATAAAAGCCAGCAGTGATGTAATGTCAGATTCAACTCCATTTATGTAGGGTACAGTGCCAAGTGCACACGGGGAAAAAAAAGTAACTGTAAATGTTCTTGGGAGGAGGATGCACCCATACTGCTTTGTACCGGCTCGTTTGAGCTAAACGTGCACTGAGAAACAACGCGACCACTTGGTCTGGTGAGCGTCAGCAAAATCCGTTTATCAATTTGTTACCGGTGGCTTAAAAAGGGGAACTGCTTGTCAACTTGTCGACAAAAAATTACATTTTGTTCTATTGGTGAAATGTATTTGTTTGTGAGCCACACTTGTGATCAAAACGTATCTCTTATAGAGCACCCGGCACACTATACTGTATAAACAATATCTGTCAGTGTTTATAAAACACAAGTTAATTTAAAGCTTTTTATTTATAGCTGGTGTTATATTCTCCTCAGAGCCATATCAGCTCTGATGATGGACCAACAACTCTACATTTAACGGTTGCCAGCGCCGCGTAATTGGCAGTGCAAAAACAACACTTGCAAAATTGCTTTCTGTTTGTGACTTTTTGTCTGATTGCAGTGAATTTGGCTTCTCGATGATTCCCAGCATTGTGTCTAATCCATATTATAGCCTCATTTCCCTCTGTGATCCATCGGACTGTAATTTTCTATTGTGATGGACAGGGTAATTGCTCCAACTCTGCAGGGTTTTAAGACTTGATTAGACTTGCTTACAGTCTGCACCAAACCCTGTAGACATATATTTTATTTTTAAGTGTGAAATAGTAGCTGAGGTAAAAATGAGGCCTGTTCCCTGAAAAGAGGGAGCGCTTTGCCTCGTACTTATTGATGCATTCACAATGTAAGATGTTCCGTCGTTTGGTTTTGCACTGATAATATCACCCTTATGATGTTTTGACGAGATAACCCGTGTCTAAGCAATGGGGGATAGACAGCAGGCGCTCTCCCTTCCTCTATGAGGCATGAGAGACTAATGGTTACGCCGCGGCAGCACCCCCTACCGGGCGGAAAATTACCATCCACAGGGCTGCGGTCCTGATGCTGAGGATGATGCACCGGATTGGGAGGGGGAGTATAAACCCGCTTTTGATCGAAAAAATCGTGGCTTAGTCTCTGTGGCGCAATGGAATAGCGCGCTGGACTTCTAATCCAGAGGCTCCGGGTTCGAGTCCCGGCAGAGATGTTGATGAAAGGCTTTTTGGATGAGCGATGGATTCAAAAGTAGAGCTGTTGTTTTCTTGCTTCTGCAGCTACAACGTCCCTAACAAAGCTGCTCCGGATCCAGATAGGATAGATATATATATATATATTTAGTCAGACAGTCTGTGATGTGTGTATTTCTGCAGAGGCCCAATGCACAGTACATCCGAATTTGTCTTTTTTTTTTCACATGGACGAGCCTTTTCATCGCGCAAAGGTCAGCGCTTCATTATGCAGATTTCAAACGGGCCAAAAGCCTGGTGTAGCAGCCCCGCGCGCTCTTCCATACCAGCCTATACGGGCTTTATATACGGTCATCACGCAGGCACCGCAGGACAACACAGCGCCTCGTCGTGTGAAAGTCAGTGGACACGCGTTTCGGCACCTGGGGCTCAAACTCAATGAAGCCACAGCTAAAGCTTTTCTAATGCAGCGCCAACAACAAAAACATTTAGCGCCTTCCCCGTCCTCCGTAACAAGTGTTTAATGACGCCAGATGCTGCGTTCCGTCTCCCGTTTGTTTCAGAGACTAAACGACTCCGGTTCACTTTGAACATTAATGACTCACAGGGCCAGAAAATGGGGTTGTCTCAAGATTTTTGTCTGCAGACTTTGTATTGAAGTGTAGACTATAACAACAGTGTGGCATGTGCAAGTGGAGAATAAGGATTGCTATATTCATTACGTGTTTATTTGTGTTTTTAATTAAGTGAAATCGGACTGGGGACCTTTCTGGAATCCTTTTAAGGACCCCTGAAGGTGGACTTTAAAAAAAAAACATACATTACCCAAATCATGGAAGCCCAGAGCAGCACTAGGCCTACTTATTTTGTTCAGTGTGGAAAGCAGCTGCTTGCTTGAAGATCTCTCAAACGCCCCGACTCTAACTCCTCCAGGCTCCCCATGGCTTGTATTATTTTGTATTTCCCCCCCCCCTGTTTCAGTGTGTCACCACTGATTGGGCTGTCGTGCGGCTGCCGCCATCCATGTTTAACCCCATCATGCCTCCCCACACACAGACCTAATCCGCCAGTAAAACTAATCCATAATCCTCTCTGGCAACAGAACAGCCCCCCTCCCTCCATCCCTTGGATCCTGACTCCCAAACGGTCAGAACTGAAATTGATAAAGTCTGTATGCAAAACTGGTCATTTACAAGGGTATACACATTATGATGTATAAACGTCATGAGTGTATTATACAAATTTTGAGGTGATAAGAGATAAATACAAAAAGTCCCAATAAAGTCACTGTTTAACTCACCGCAGTGTTGTACGGAGATATTGAAGTTACAATGACACAGAGAAAGTCCCACAACTCCGCTAGGCCAAGGACTCGGGATAACATTACCATATTGCAAATTATCAGGCCTGCGGGAAATAGCAATGGGCCTATCTGCGAGATAGGGATAATAGCTCCATAATATCAATGATAAGAAACATTACAGGCTACTGAGAACCGTGACAATCCACTTGAGATGACCTCTGCTGCTTCATTTCAGTAGTTTAGTACCGGCCTATGCTACAAGTTAGGAGGGCCACTGGACCTGTACTCGGTATCAAACCTTTGGATAAAGTGAGCAGAGCTATACGGGGGATCCTACAGTAATGTGCCACCACAGCAGATAATAAAATACCATTAAAGTACGATAAGGTCAGTTTAGACTCACTGTGGAGTGTACATCGGCATTATGGTTATTTCTCACACTTCTCTATCTGATCCATCTCCTCCTTCATGTTGCTCTCAGCCAGTAGGCCCCTGCTCTGGCCCTGTTATCCCGATGGTACGGGCCAAATCGTATTAAAATCCCCTCCCTCCCTCCATCCCTCCCTCCCTTGTCCCCTCCCTTGTCCCCTCCCCTCCCTCTCGTCTTTCAGACAGACTGTTTTTGCTGCAGTGAACGGCAGCCGTGGAGAGAGAGAGAGCGAGAGAGAGACAGAGATACAAACACAGAGAGAGAGAGAGAGAGAGAGAGAGTGTGTGTGTATGTGTGTGTAAGAGAGAGGAAGAGAGCGCGCGCGGAGGAAAAAACGCAAGAAAAACAAAGAGTCAGGAGAAGGAGCGAGGAGATACAAAAAAAGTCGATAAAAACAGACTGAGAGAAAGCTCCGGACAAGCGACCGCTGCGCATCAAAGGAGGGACCGTGCTGGGGACCTTTATTGGAGACCAGCGACAACAAAACCCGACTCCGGAGGCGGAATATAACGGTGTGTGTGTGTGTGTGTGTTTGTGTGTCTGTGTGTGTCTGTGTGGTTATTACCGTGCATTGCTTTGCAGTTTATATTGTTGTCCAGGGTTAGGCTGGAGTGTGTAGGGCGGACAGGAGACACCTGTCAGGGCTGACGCTTTTCCGTCTCCAGGAATGTGTATGTGTGCGCACTCTGGGTAGGTGGCTGTGTGTGTGTGTGTGTGTGTGTGTAATCTGTTATGCCTGCCCAGGGAGAGAGCGGTATAATCCCCCCCCGTGTTTTATAATTTACTCTGAATATGCGTTTTGTTGTCGGGCTGCTCGCGCTGTACCCGGCTCCTCTCCCCCCGGCTCTGTTGGCTCTATCGCTCTGCAAAAAAAATCAAAAAAGCATCACAACTGCGTGTGAAGCAGCCACCTCTCCCAAGCACTTCGGAGTATCTAGATATCAACCCAGATATTTCTGCAAGTGCGCGGAGAAGGTGTTGGAAAACAAGCTGCGACCGGAGAAACATCGCTCCGGTGCTCCCGCGGTCCGTCGCAGCGATGCAGGCCACCACGAGCCGTTATTATTGTTATTATAGTCACCATCACTGTTATTACTCGGCCGCGTAATAAGAGCCGGCCGCACCAACTTGTTTTAAATCACGCCCAGAGTGTCCGGGTTATTTCCCATGGATGCACTTGTTCTAGTTTTGTTTTCAGTTCTCGCCATCACTCAACAGGAAGGGCTGGAGGAACAATAAACACAGCCCACCCCTCCCCATTCCCCCCCCTCACCCCACCCCCTCCATCCCACTCTCTATCCCCGCCCTAACCGCCCGCCCGTCCCGCAGGCAGCACTCGTGCCACGGTTCCCTCTCAGCGTTGGCAAAGAGGGAGCGTTTCGCAGATGGACCGACAGCTTACCTCTGCGCAGGCCACTGCTATTTTAAAGGTTGTGCGTGAGATAAAACAAGGGAGCGTATTATGTGTTTGACAAAGAGAGAGAGGGAGAGGACGAGTATCTGGAGACGGACAGACGTGTAGAATAGCAGCTCAGTCTTGTGCAAAGCGCACCGTGTATTCTCAGCGGGAGATAGGTGCATCTTTCTGCTGCTGTTGTGTGTGTTTTCTTATTTTCCTCTTCTGTTTTTTTTTTCACGACCAACTGGGGGATTGTTGCTTTGCGTTATTTCCAATTAACGAGAATTACTTGGAGCTCGGTTATGGGCAGTCCAAACATTCGTTTTCCTTCCCTCCACATGCGCACCGCTTGTTAAAGTGGATGAATATATTCCCAGTAATATGAACCCCCTCCTCCTCTTCTTCTTCTTCTCCCCCTCATTACCACACACCACACCGCCATCGCATCCTCTCTGCTGTTCTTGGCTCTATCGCCAGCCTCCCCTCCCCTCCCCTCCCCTCACCCCCTGTCTCTCTCAATCGCCCTGTATGACACAAGCAGATCGATGAATACCCATAGAGCAACGCGTGAGCAACGGGTGGGCCAAGCGTTTATTCAGAGGCAGCCAACCAACAGCAGGGCGTGCAATTAGTGGCCAGGCAGCCTGCCCCAGCCTGTTTTCCTTATCTCTCTCCACTGCTCTCCCGCTGCAGGTGACAATCCAGATCTCCTCTGCCCTCCTGAGGATTCAGTGAGACAGGCAGATCTGTGCGTCCGACCATGGCCTTCCCATCAACCCCCTCCGCGTTATGGAGTGTCAGCCTATTGACGGCACTATTCGCAGCTGCGGTTCACAGCAACATAATATATGGTAAGCACCTCTCTCTCTCTCTCTCTCTCTCTCTCTCTCTCTCTCTCTCTCTCTCTCTCTCTCTCTCTCTCTCTCTCTCTTTATCCATCAGCCTCCTATTCTCTATATCTGGCTGTCCGTCCCTGGGGCCCCTGACCTCCCCGACCCTCTCTTTCTCTCTCCGGTGGTGCCCCTTATCTGTTGACTTGAGTTTTTTTTGTTGTTTCCTGTACTATGACAAGGGAATCAAACAGCCGTTAATAAGCACATGGGACACTACCACCTCCCCCGGACCCCGGTGGAATTTTTGCCGTTGTTTTTGAGGAATTTGTGTGACTTGCACGTGGGTGCAGGACTACGCTCTCTCACACACACACACACACACACCCACACACACACACACACACACACACACACACACACACATACGTACTACAGGTCCTTGCTGGAGTAGCTCACTTGCCCCCTGGCTTCCTCCTCTCTCCTCGCTCCGTGACATCTCCGGTCACTTGTGTGGAAATACAAAAGCGGGCACACACTCACTCACGCACTACAGTTCTTCTCTTCATGTTGACCTGCTCATCATCTCATGCTGCGCTTGGACTAAATCTGTTTCACAGGTTCATGCAACCTGGAGATGAGCATTAATCTTGTGCTCTCAAATAGCAACACGGGAGTGTGCACACTTAACACAAACACACACTTAACACACTTACACACAGTAGAGAACACATGGCACTCGTCATGGCTGGAACTCAACATTTGATGAGCTGGGTGCGGCTGGAAGCGGATGGTAAGAGAGGATTTGATGAGAGAAGCACTTTGTAATGATATCATCCCTGCTGTGAGCACCGTGAACAGGAATACACTGTCCAATGTGCTTTTCCAATTACATAACACTCAAGTGTCTGGCTGCCGGTAATACAGCCTTTAGAGGGCAAATCGTGCCGACGGAAAAGAGGCGCATCACGGTTGTCCCAGAATCCATTGAAAATTGATTGACTCAGGTGGAATCCTGCCGGCATGTTCTCAGTACAGTGAGGCTTTAATTGCGCCAAGTGTTTGGCAAAGAACTTTAAGACGATACAGCTGGCAGGAAGGCTGCTAATAGACGTTCCCTTAAATGTATTTCCAGTATAAATTTGCAGAAGTCCCTTGCATTCGCTTGTGCACTCCCACACAATTTGTCAAATCTGAATACATGGTACATGCACATGCATGGACACATGCACAGCGTACACGTGCATGCGCACAGATATGCAAGCTCACGCACCGCATTTACTGTGCTTCCACTTCGTTTATCCACTCAGCTGTTTTTTTTTAACTTTCTGTTGAATTATGCATACTTGTGTTTCTGCAAGTTAGTATATGAAATATGGGGAAGTCAGCATGAGCTCGCAGTGGTCAGCGCAGTAAAAAGTGAGAACCAATCGGGCTGTGCCAAGAAGCCGGGATGAGGTCACTGCTAAGCAAATGCAAACGGAGGGCCCGTCGAGGCCCCTGAAAGCTGTTGAAGAGGAGAAAAGCACGAACAATCTCCAGATTGGGGCGCTGGCAATGAAATATCAATCTCTTGTCAGAGCGCTGACCCTGACCGTGTAACTCGTCATTGAAACCCAGGCGGCGGTTCGTTATTTGGGTCCGAAAGCGATTTTGGCTCGCATTCAGACCCGCGTCACATTTGATTAAGGTGTACTAGCAGGAGGCCCGACCATGCATGACCAATTCCTGCTTTGGTTTCACCTAAGAGCTGTTTTACATTATCATGTCAGTCTGGGAGAGTAATTAAGCCCGGGACGTCTGACAGTGTTTCGGGGATGAGAAAACACGTCAAAGTGTGCAATTGAGAGTAAAAGGGAAGCGGTGCTGACTTGACAGGATTTTGGTGCGCATGTTGTAAAACATTAAGTTGTGGTCTTTTTGTCAGACATTTTTCCAATCAAGGCATAATGAAATACTAATATTAAATACAGTGAAACAAAATAACATTTCTGCAGTGAAATCCATCAGAATTCAAACCATAGTTCTTGTGCTACTTAGGAACATAAATAAGAATAAGAAGGGACACTCTTCAGGTATATACAGATACAGTATATAGGCTCTTCACTGTCTTCCAGACGTGTGAGTAATGTGGCAAACGGTGGTGACTCGGTGTGCAATGTGGTGAGCTGTAGAGCGCCGGTCCATCGCTCTCATCTGCTCCGGTCCGTCTGAACGGCTGTTAAGTAGAAGATGGAGTAGGGCGGGGTGGGTAGTCAGATAATGCCGTCATAATGGAGATCTCCATGCTAAGAGGCCCTGGAACAGAAGGGTCTACTTAGCATAAATAATTCAATGTTATGTATCACAGAGGAAAAACGATTAGCTCAGCAAATCAATGCAGGAGCAGATGAGCAATCAGAGAGCAGGGCTGCCCGTCACTGCTGTACTCAGAGTCCACGCTGAATGAAAAGCATGCAGGCTGTTTGTCCCCTGTCATCATTCAAAGAGGGAAAGAGAGAAAAAGAGCTCCTCCCATGAGTTATGGGGTTGATTAACAGCAACCAACAGGCTACATGCCGTGATGCTTTAATTCCCACCCAATCCTATAGACTCCCAGCTCTCCTACTTCCACTGACCCATCTTCATTTGATGTATGTCAAAGTCAGGGAAAAGGACTGCCCTAACTCTGTCTTTTTTCCTCTGGATTTATCTGTGACCGGGCTTCCTTAGAGCGAGTGAACGAATCGGGGAAACACTAATTGCGCGCCATTTGACATATCCATTTCCACAGCTGGATGTGCAGCCATGCGCTGCGGATGGAAAGTGCCTCTCAGAAGGGCACAGATTAGGCATGCATTTGGCCGGCTGTGCCCTGGTTCTGTTCTGCTGACCCAGTTACCTCGGGGGGGCTGCTGTGGTGTGTGGAGGGTCCGTCGGCCTGAGCGCTTTTAGGAGACAGAGTGAAGGGCAGTGCTCGCTGTGGCCTCCCATCAGCCACCTGGCCCTCCACTCCACTGCAGCCTGATCCCAGACCCCCAGGAAAATCTTTGCATTGTCGACGAGAAAACACGCCAAATAGTTTATTTACCTCGGCGACTTTTGCTGGTCGGAACGAGTGAGCGCGGTGCTTCCAGCTGAGGCCAATAATGAAAGAGGATTACAGGACGGGAGCAGCGTGGACCAATCGTTAGTGTGGTAAGATTTACAGGCGGGAGGGCTCCGCATGCGTTCGCCTCTGCCAGCGGTTCACTTTATCCTGCCACAAAATGGGCTCCTTCCCCCCCTGGACCAGCTCTTTCTCGCTGGCTCCATGCCCACTTCCTGTGTGTGCTGCTGTTATTTACTGTTGACTTCCTGTGTGCCAAGATGGGAGAACACTTGGCTAATACACAGTACGGCTAACACACAATGGCAGTAGGCGGTTTGGATGGGAGGCCTCTGCCTGTTAACAAGGCTGACTGATAAGCGGTGACTCATTAACAAGCCGAGGTACACAGAGCCTCGGGGAATTACCGCCTAGCCACTGTGACATTAATAAGAGGCCTAAGCTATTTTTCCATTTGGCTCCACTGGCACCGGGCTAAACCAGTGGTTTTCAATCTCGACCCTGGCTATTTACTGGCTCCAGTGCTTTTCCATTTGTTTCAGCCACCGGTTACCTCGTCTGATTGGAGTGGGGCAGATCAGTATTGTCAATGTGGGGGTTGCACTTAATGACATCCGCTGCTTCAATGGAAAGCATACCAACTCATTAGTTTTCTGCCGATTGATTCAGAAACATCCGGAGAAGAGCCCAATTAATTATTCTCATGTTAATTAATAAGCAATATGTTTGTTTTTTTAAAAGGAAAAAGACAGAATTCATATCCTATGCTTTTCAATCAATGAGGCTGATGATGATTGTGACATTATATAGATCCAATTAGGCGTCTAAAATTCCTCAGTGCAATATGTAGCAGCAACTGTCTCCTGTCAGAATTTTAAATCCAAAGCCATATGACTTCCATTGTCTTGCGTGTTTATTCTTCTCCGATCCTTTAAGTGTTTTGTCGTCCAGATCAGTTTTGTGATTATAAATCAGATCCTGATTGGCTGGCATTAGTTTGCAACAGATTCACATCTGGCAGAAAACCAATTATTTCTCCTGTTCATCATGCCGATTAATTAAGGCGCTGTGGCTGATTGATTAAACTCCCAGCAAAGATCCAACCATGAGCACCAGAGCCCTGGGGAGGATTTGCATCACACATTATGCACATTGCTGTGTCTTCATGTTATCTTCATATAGGTCCTCAGACACGCCGAAACATTACACATGCGTAAGCAACAAGCAGAGAGAGCTCACAGCTCAACAAGGCACAAGTGTTGATAAGTAATTTGTAGCTAAATTAAGCCGAATTAAAATGCAGTGGCTCGCCGGTATCATCGGATCTTAAAGGCATCAAGAGCGCCCAAACAAGACTCCCATTAGACCTCATCAATCTGAGGCAGATCTCATCCACCCTGGCCCACTCAGGCAAAGTGAGATTACGTGAGATTACGCCAAAGTGAGATTACGCATCAATCTCACCTGCTGGCATCATAATAACAGCAAATATCATTTAGACACCGAAAGACAGAAGTGCTCTTGAGATTTCTGCAAAGGGGCAAAACACACTCAGCATCCTCTCAGGTGCTCTTGGAAGACGCGTCGCTCTGCGGCAACCGAGAGTCGACAAAATTAGGGGTTCGAGCCTTTGCAGAGCTGTCGGCTTTACACCATCACTTCACAAAGACACCGCCGATTAAACAAAGCTAACCGCAATAACAAAGACCCGCCTCGGAATAAATTAATTAGCTTCATTTTTTTCAACAAGAGCCCTTATTGTCATGCTCCATGCTCAACTGGCTTTTCCTTTGATCAGGTCCCACGTTCTCACCACTCCCCACTCAACCCTCCCCCCTCCCCCTTTTCTCCCATTACCTGCTGGAATTCTCCAACTGGTGTTTTAATTGATTGTTGCAGGGAGGTGGAAATCACCCATCATGTCATTGATGCA